TTTAAGGAAGCCTTTAAGAATAGTCTCCCCCTCAGGTAGTGTACCCTTCGGCCTTGTGCCACCTGAAGGCTGTCACCTTCACTTGGTTCTATTTCATTTATTTACTTCATTTGTTTTACAAGTTTGAGCTTTACTGTCTATTTATTATGTTGGGGAATGGTGGGTGGGGTTTACAGTTTATATTAAAATGTAAGGACTGCCTAGATAAGTGGTCCCACTAAGTTGCATGGGATATAAGTGTCAATACTAAATATAAATATAAATCCTTATGCTCCTTTTACATGGAATTGTTGATGCACACTCAGAGGCACTGTGCTCACATGTTTTTACTCTCATGAAACCACACAGCAGCTCTATGCACATTGCTTATACATAAGGAGATATTCCTTTCATTGAAGTGAAAAGGAAGAAACCACATGTCCACAATGAAAGCATACTGGAAATTAAGCAACATCAACCCATTTTACTTTGATACTCAGGATTTCTGTCTCTGTCTGTCTTCAACTCCATTATAAATGTTTTCAAAACACCAATACAGTATAGCTCTGAGGTTTGTAACTTTGTACAAGCTCAGCAGTTAACCATTTGTATGCTATTGTGTTCAGCATTAACCTTAAATACATATATCATTGCACTGACTGTTCCAAAGAACATATTAGAAAAATGTGTGTGTTTGTTTTAATACTTTCTAAAGAGTTACCTTCCTGCAAGTCTATCTATAGTTAGTTCAGAGGCAATGCAATGAGAGCACAAATGCAGGATGATTCCAACTTTTACACAATGCAAAAAGAATTAGAAATACAATACTTTCTCACTTCCTGTCATTCACACTCTTTCCCGATGTCTAAATCATCATCTCCCTACCCCTGCTAACAGGAGGACATGCAAGAAAAATTATGCAGCTCATCACAAGCTATGGGGTTGGGGGGGGGGCAGAAGTTAAAATTAATTCCTATTTGGCATTTAAAAAAAAGTATGGAGAAATGCATCTTTGTCCTTCTACCTAGAGCATCATACGGATGTCGGCCAGACAAGAAAAAAGGTGCTAGTGAACCTCAAACTTTTAGAGCTTGTTTGTAAATCAATAAAATGACTACCTTCCAGATTGCTGAGTAGGTCTATAAACTGTTCCTGTCTAAGCTCATCCACAGCTGTGGTGCTGCCTACTGTTGTTCTGGGGTTGTTTTAGGTTATTCTGGGTCATTCTAGCATTTTGTTGCAAATTTGAATGGATCATTTCAGTATTTGTGTCCACATGAGGGGAGTATTTGTTGCCAGATGTGCACATACCATGTACAGGTACCACCTGTCCACACACATCTGGAATTGCTCCCAGTCTCACTTCCAACAGAGACTGCCCTCCCCTTTGCTTATGTTCTCTACTTTTTTCCTGTCTACTTCATTCCTCCCTTGTTTGATCCATCCATGGGGCACAAAGAGATGGAGACTGACCAACAGAAAAAAACTTATGAAGAAAAGCAATCAAATCACATCCCACACCAAGTACAGTATGCCCAGAACTACACAGTACTAAGGTCAATGCAGGAAGATCCTGCACTGGAGAAAATCAGTGCACAGCAGAACAAAAATACTCCACCATACAGCAGAAGCATTTAAAAAATCCCAAAAAGCAAAGGGGTTTTTTTGTGGGGGGGGGTTCCCAAATGAACTCTATTGTCAGTCGTTTTTCACTTGTTGTAGTTTAAGCTCAGCATTGTGTGGATATTGGGATGTGGTACCAGTCTTGTGAAATAAAAGTCAAACAAATAGTGTAGTGTGGACAGGCTACCTTGCTTTACTATGAAGGTAACACATTATGGAGTAAGGAGAGCAAATCTCAGATGACTAAAATAATAAGATTCATCATACAGTCTCTTTAACAGCTTACCCCCTCCCTCTCTTGTGTAAAACACACACACACACCACAACACATAGACACACAAAGAATACTATCTCTAATAACATCAGCAGAAATTAAATGCTGTATTGATCTCACTAGACAAAAGCAGGAAATAAATAAATAAATAAATAAATAAATAAATAGATAAATAAACAAACAAACACACACACACACACACACACACACACACACACACATACATACATACATACATACATACATACATACATACATACATACATACATACATACATACATACATAATGCTGGCAGATATCCTAATCAGCCTCATGGAACTCAGTGGAATTTATTTCTGAGGAGACGTGTACTACTGCATAGCAATCTTGTTACTAAACCCTATTGCTATGTTATCTTAGTTGTCACTAAATCCTAATGCTGTGTTATCTATGAACCTTTATAACTGTTTCATACTTTACTTTTGCATAAGGCATAACTTACATGAGCAATGCTAGAACACTAAACTCTTCAGAAATTAAAGATTCCCTTCTGTGAATGGCAATGTCCGCTTTTGGAGCCCGCACTGCCTTTCCAAAGTTACAAAGGTTTTGTGAGTAAACCATTTGTGTGTGCAATTAAATATGCAAGACAGCTAGCCAGGGTAACCTATGAACCAGAACCTCTCTATCTTGCCAGTGACAGACCAGCCTCCCAATACAAGAGAACTTCCCTGGGGCCTCAAGGTCACTAGACCAATTAGCTGGGTAGAACTGAAAGTGTGAAGAAAAAGCAAAGAGCCCAGAAGAGAAAAGCAACTAAGAAAGCAACCACTAAACATGTGGCCAATGCTCTCCTAAATTACACAGACCTAAATAATATTAAGAAGACCTTGGATTAAAGCTGCCAATCTTACATCTACTTCTGATGCCAATCCAGCACTGTTCACTTTTATGAAAACAGAGATGGGGTTTTATTGTCAGTTACAACATTTAATTGATACCCATCAACAGAACTATGATTTCTATATTATCCAGGCCATCTTATACTTGTTGCATGCTGATGGACAGAAGGACCAGATTTTGCCATTTTAAGATGTAACCGAATACATACTTTTCTAGTTTAATATCCCGATTCTGTTAGCCTTTCACTTTCCAATAAATTAGTCTATTTCAGCACATGTAAAACAAACAAACAAAAAGTATTGTGGCACCTTTCAAACTAATAGAGGTGTCTGAGTGTGAGCTTCTGCGGATTATAATTCATTTCCACAAACCCAGGTTACAATTCACTTAAACAGGTCACACACATTCATACATCTGCTGGTTTTAAAGGTGCTGCAGCATTTTGCTTTGCTTTTGTTATATCATGACAGCAGCCTATATTTCTGTATATTAATGTATGCTCCCAGGATCTGTTTTCTCTCGATTGCCAACTCCGGTAGCAGCGCTGAATGCCATCGTCTTTCTGAATGGCTGACTACACACTTGATTCAGTGCCACACAAAAGCAGTTTGATGAAATGCGTCCCTCCCCTGGGACGCCATAGTTCACGTGCATCATTAGTCTGGGAGGCAGTAGTCCTTTTTACAGCCTGTGAGTGAGTGCCAGATCCTATCTATCTAATCCTCAAAGTCGCTAGAAGCAAAGCCTCTGCAACAAGGAGCTTGGGGGTGGGGTGAGGAGAAAAAGCAGCATCCTTCAGAGCTACCACAGCCCAGATCTCTCTCTCCGCCCACCCCTGTGCCCAGAGCCCCAAATGCTTGGCTCAGTCAGCCCAGAAAGAGGAGGGATAAGACCGTCAGTTTGGCTGTTTGTTCTTCTTTAGCAGACAATGTGGGGGGGGCTTTATGCAGAGCCCCTTCCTTCTCCTTCCGTCCCTAACTAAAGCAGCAATCACATGTCACATAGGGAGGGGAGGCAACATCAAATGATTTTTTTTAAATGAAGCGGCTTATCTATGTAATTAAAAAGTTAATTCTAAAGAAAAGTAGTACAAAGAAAAGAAGAGTCCCACATAAATCTGGAGCAGAGTCTCAGACCGGGTGATCCGTCCACCCGCTTCTTCACTTCAAAGCACTTATTTCTTCTTTCGCCCCCCCCCACCCCGTTCCCCGCGCGCGCATCCCATTCCAACCCACCGCCCAAGTTTCATCCTCCACAAAGCCAGGGGGCGGCCCCTTCCTCCTCCACAGCAAAAGGCAAGCTCTTCTCCCCTCTCTCTACACACACACGCACACACACGGACACACACAACTTCGCCGCTAGCAGAAGATGAAAGGAAGAAGAAGAAGAAAAAACAGACGGGGGCGAGGCAAAGGGGGATGAATGCAAATTGCAAACAGAAAGGCCGGGAAGAGGAAAAATAAAAGA